AGCTCCGTGCACACAGCAGGTTGCCTCACAGGGGGCTATTTGGCATGGCTCTGTGGGGAGAGCTGTCCCTGCACACACCTGTGCAGGGATGCAGGTGGGGAATGAAGTATTTTTTTTTTCCTGTTTTGGGTATTTCTTGTAGCTAAAGGGAACAGAAAGTCAACTGAAGCCTGTTCTCTAGCTTGCCAATAAAACCCTGGTAAAGCAAGAGCTTTGCCTGTGCCAGACAGGCTTGCTGGGGTGCAGCAGGGCCCAGCACCACAGACAGCTGTGGCAGGAGAAGCTGCTGCCCTGGGTGCAATAACCACCACAGCTCCAACTTGCCCTGTTGGCCTGGTTAACACACAGTGCTTAGTAACTAATGGGGTGGCATAGAGCAGAGTAAATTGCAGAGCATGAAACAGTGAATAATTGCTTAGAGGTGAGATGAGGTTTGAGCTTTAGTATCACCCGTGGCTGCCTGATGTTCCCACAAAGCAGGGAGAGGCTGCAGTGTGCATGGAGGGTGGCTGGTGGGATTGTCCTCTGGAGCAGTGGTGTGATCCCATGTTACTGCAAGGCTGTTGGCTGCACCAGGAGGATCTTAGCTCCCTGCTCTCTGGTGCTTCCCCATCCCTGCAGGGTTCACTGGGGGTGATGCTGGGCATCCTCTGGGGCTGTGGACGTGCTGAAGTGGGGTGAAAAAAAAGATGGGTTTCCCATTGGCAGCTAAATTGGACTTGGTTCCTGCTTCCCCCTCCCTGCAGGTTTCACCCAGGCTGGGCATCCTCTGGGGCTGCTGAGGTGCTGCAGTGGGGTGAAAAAAAAGATGGATTTCCCATTGGCAGCTAAATTGGACTTGGTTCTACCTTGAGGATGTTTCATGAGCTTTATGGTGGCTTGGTGCAGGAAAGGAGGCTGCCTTGGACCCCCCCTTGGACCCTGTGATGGGTGCAAAGGGATGCTGAGGTCTGGCTGGGCATCTGGGGCTTCTGCTTTGCTAAAAAATGCTTGGACTCTGTGGATTACTCCAAGCAGCAAAGTGTGCCCCCTCTCCTGTCTTTGCTTGTGGTATTTATTGAGCAGTTGCTAAGCAATAACCTTGTAAAATTTCCCATATACCTTTTTTTTAACATGCTGAGGATTAGCTGAGCAGCTCCTGGATTCTGCAAGAAATGGAAACTGCTCATGTTAAGAGCTGGCTGCAGCTGGACAGGAAACTGTGCTTTGGAAACTTAAAATCCCTCTTTCTGGAGTGAGAAAACTGCAATTCTTTACCTCTGCCAGTATGGAATAATAAAATATGAATATATAGTGGGAGGTCAGGAAAATATTTTACTGTAGAAACCAAATGGCTCAGAGTGAGGAAATTATTATTGCTACTTGGAAAAACATGAGAAATTTCAGAGAGTTAAACCCCTTGTTGTGAGAAGACTCAGCAGAAGTGCCCGGAAGGCAGATGCAGGCTCATCTCCCCTTGCCATGGGCAGCATCCAGCTTGGATGGGAATGGTTGGCAGAGGTCAAAGCCATCACCTGGATCATACATGCACTAGGGAAAGGCCAATGTAATGCTTTTAGAGGGGGCTTACTGATACATGCATTAATTTGGGCTTTTTTCTTCTCAAAATACTAGACAGATGTTGTAGGAAAAGAAATAGGAATTGCATTCCTAATTCCCCCAAGGGTCTCTTTGGTTTAGAAATTTCACCCAAAGCTTTGGCTGCCCCTTCACCTCCTGGCTGCCCCCTTCCTCCCTTTGACAGTCAGAGCTGGAGTGCAAGGTCTGGTGCATGGAGGTGTGGTTTTAGTGCCCTGTGTTTGCAGAGCTGGCACAGCAGCAGTGCTGGCACGAAGGGCTGGGGACGGGGCTGCCAAGTCCAGGGAGGTTGCTGGGGTAGAAACTCCACTATCAAATTAGAATCTGCAGCTCTGTAAAAATAAAGGCTGTTATCTGTAATGGTGCAGCAGGTAACGGGCACCGGAATTGGTGTCAGATTTGCCCCAAAGGGCTAGATAACAGGGGGAGCAGTTAATCGTTTTAGCTTCAGTTCCGCTGATGGACTCGTCTGTTCCCAGGGTTGCTGTAAATTGAGGTTTGAATGAAGCCAAACCAACCCCAGTTAATGTTGAAATCTGCCATTTCTCAGGCCCTGCAGAAGCAGACAAACACAAAATCGATATTGGCTCTAACTGTTGCTAAGTTTTCTTTACAGATTAAATTCTGCTTACTGATCCCTGCAGCCTCAGCTCCCTGGAGCCTTCCCAGCTGCGGGGCCCAGTCCTGCCCCGTCCTCCCGTCCTGCCCCGTCCTGCCCCGTCCTGCCCCGTCCTGCCCCATCCCCAGGGATGCTCC